AGAAACTTTTGAGTAATAATCATATAAACTTGGGTTTTTCTCCACTCGTGTATATCTCAAAAAAAAAAAAAAAAAAAAAAAAACTATGAATTGTAGTACCTGATTAACATTTAAGAGAATACAAAATAATAGCTTGGCACTCGATATCCATAATGTAAATTGTTAGGTTTTTTAAATTCAATTTTATGGACATGTCAAGTTTATTGTGTGATATACATGTGTTGTTTTGATTTTATCTGAATTTATACCCTATTTCTTATTTTCAGGTTGCGTTTAGAGTAAGGATCTGAGTCATGGTTCGGATTATAATTCATGGCTCTCTACAGTGTTTTTTCTCACAAAAAATATATGTAAATCGAGAATAATTCTGAATTATGGTTCTGAATTCATGAACTAAATGTTTTATGTTTTCCTAACTATCTTTTACATTTTTTATATTAAAAAACCTAAAAGATGTATTTTTTATATATATTTTTTTACCTTTTTTATGTAATAGTCTAAAAGTGGATACTCTTTCTTTTTCAAACGTTCTTTAGCGTCAAAACTATTGAGTATAATAAACATTCCATTACTCTTTAATCAGGACTGATCTTTTTATCGCTCTAAAATTCTCATAGACTCGTCACCATCAAGAAAAGATCAAAGCAAATTTCCAATTGAACAAGCAAGAAATTCTAGTGTTTGTCTATGATTTGTGAACGGTCACTTTCCGAATAAATGAATCGGCATACCAAATACACTTATAATAAAAATTGGATTATTCAGGCCTTGTTCGGCAGAGTGATTTTTGAGTGAAAAACTCAAGAAAAGGTAACTCGAGTTATAACTTTATTCGAGTTCATGTTCTTTTAAGTTTGAACTTGAGTTTGAACTCGAGTTTAGAACTAAAACTCGAATTCAAGTTTTCCCTTCAACTCGAATTCAAGTTAATGAACAATATTTTTTCTATTCTTAAAAATGATATAACTTTTTCATTTTAATTCTGATTGAGATGATTTTTTTTTTCTATGCGTTAACAATGAAAAGAAGAATAAAACTAGACCCATATACCCTATTAAAATTTTTCATCAGAATTGAGATACTATCTAAATACAAATACAAGTTTTAACTTACTCAAACACAAACTCAAAAAAATTCTTATCTCAAACCATAACTCAAATGTACACAACCAAACACAAACTCAAATTACAACTTCAATTCAAGTTATAACTCAAACTCAACTCAAAATCTACACTCAAATTACCTAACTCAAAAATATCAAAAGAACAAATCTATTTCGCACATCTTTCAAATTTAACACTGTATTATTTTTGTTTGTTCATCTTTTTTCTTTTTTTTTTCTTTGAATAAACACTTTAATAATTACGAAATATTAATATATCTCGTAGAGAATTACTAGCGTCACTTTTTTTGTCACTCTCATTATTATTTTTTACATTTACTGTTTGACACATATAATCTACAAATATGATATAATATTATTATTTAAAGAAAAAATGAGATAGTAGAACTCACTTATCAAAAAATGAATACAGAAAATAACAGAAAAAGTGCGGTAGCACTTCCTTGTGTCCCATATCTGATGGTCTCCACAGAATGTGATGTCTGACCTAATTAGACAAGAACTGCATTCATACACTAGTTGCTTGGTTTATATGCGTAACAACAAAATAAAACTTCAACAAAAATAATACTAGAGGAATCTTGCCTGGGACTTAGACTGCTAGACAGATTGTGATTGAATATTAGTGGGACAACTTAAACCAGACAGCTACTCGTTTGTCTCGAGTGATGATCAATAATTAATGAACTACTTTTGCATATCAAGTAGCATATATACATATATATATATATATATATATGTCTAAATTTAAAAAGAAAAATATAATGAAATAAAGAAAAGAAAGAGAGAGAACAGTGTGTGTGGTGCACAAATTGTTCAGCTAAAACTAACCAAGTTGTGGATGGAGAATTATTCGCCGACTACAATTATAGAGGATTAAATTATTAACTATAAAAAAAATATTAAAAAAAAGAGTACATAAAGTAAATATTTGTTTTGGTCATGTTTCCCAACAAGACCAATTTTTAGTGCTCAACTCATGTTAACCGGTTCCATTTGATGGCAACAGTGTTTACATTAGTTAACATCATTTTTCTTTTTACTAAAAAAAAGGTTAATTAGTAACAATGAATTGATAATTGCTTAGTCCTAAATCCTAAATTAATACTACAAAATGATTCCTATCTTGAATTTAGTTTGCTCTTGGTAATTTTCAACCTTTTTCTAATGAATCCAGTAATTTTGGTGGGATAGTCAAAGCTACAACCTCACTGATTATGCTATAGATATTTCAATCAATTCTTAACAGCTAGAAAGTTTTACTCTTGAGCACCTTCCACTTAGAGTTGTCAAATTGGCCATTGATTAATGCCCAAAAGTGATGTTCATAAGCGGTCAATTATAGCACAGAAGGGCGGTCGTATCCACAAAGAGATAACAAAATAATAAGAAAGATTAGCAAAATAAAAGCGTTAGAGAAAAATAAATAATAAAGGAATTAAAGAAAATGAAGAGTTTTTGAAATTTTGTTGCAAATAAAAAAGAAAGAAGATTTGTGTCGAAGAAATTCAATAGTAAAAACGGTAAGGGTTGAGAATCCCTAATGTTTCATTCACCAATTCAAGTTTTGATTCACAAAATAAAAGGATCGAATAAATTAAATCTACATGTTGACTCCGAAAATATTATTATTACAAATTATTCAAAATCGACAATATTATTCAGATATTAAACTTTACAGCACAAGGAATCAAAAGTCCGAATTGGGTCACTCAACAAAAGTTCATCTTTAAACTCACCAAGAGAACTCTAGCCTAGCTTGCAAAACATTCTCACAAGTTCTAGAGAGAAAATATGAGACTGACAGCAAGACGACATAAAACTGAATATGAAAAGCTTCCTTAAACCTAGGCTAACCCCCTTATTTATAGTGTTTAGAGGTTGCCTATCAAATAAGGAAACAAACAATAAAACTAGAAAATTACAAAGAAAAAGGAAAAAAAATAAAATTACACATAAATTAAGAGAAATCAAATATTTAATTTGGGAAAGAAATCCGGTAATTTGCTCTCATTTTTGGGAAAGAAAACCGGATTCAGCACCCAAGGGGACACATGTCGCAACGTGATTGGCTGTGAGGAGAAAACGCGCCACGTATCGCATGCGGATTGGGTAGAGTGTACTGGCGCGGGCAGAGTGGAGGACAGATGTCGCGCGCGGATGAAGAAGCAAGCCGACACTGAGCAGACGCGGGATCCACACTAGACATCTGCTTAGCTTACAGGTATGTATGGCTCGGCTGAAAGGCTTGACTTGGTTGAAAATATGGCTTTCATGGCTTATTTTTGTGTAGCTTTTTACAAACTTAGAGACATCAATTTCCCCATTTTGTTTTACCAATCATTTTTAAAAAGGAAAAATATTGTAGCACGTGAATTATTATTTTTTATAGTAATTAAAATATTACCACATCAATAAATAATAAGACCATTGCATATACTAACAAAAAAAAATGTTAAACACTGAAATATAAGTTGGTAGAAAAAGATTGAGATTTGAGAAAGTGTCTCTAGCGCTACTCTTTCTTCTCGTATACACCCCTAATTTGTTTTCTATAAAATTTATCTCCATCAAAATCTTCTTTTCCCTAAATATGACCTTGTCCTTCTTTGGTAGTGAATATTAATGATGTTAATATTCCAAATGTATGGTGTAATTTTATGGCTAATATTAAGTGATCACAGTTTTACATTTAAGCTTATTTCTCCCTTTTCCCTTATCGTTTTAGAATTTGCTAGAATTTTTAATAATTATTGAAAGTTGTCTCTCTTTTTTCTTGCATTTCTTATCTTTGAACTTTCTCTCTCTCTCTTCCCCCCTCATGTATTAAATTTCGTAGAGCAATTACCTTAAGAAAAGTCGTCCTCTTATTTTTTCTTTTTAATTACAGATGACCATTAACGAACTCATCAAATGTATCATGAATATGAAATTAATCACATAATACAAAATTGTAGAATTAAAAATGAGCTCATTTCTTCAAAAGGAATTATGAACTCATTATTTAGTTCTAATAGTTTTGACGAGAATTATAAAAATTTATTTCTGACATAAATTTACGATCACTTACGTTTGGTTCATGAATTTAGAATCATGTCATGATTCAGAATTATTCTTGATTTATGTGTGTTTTTAATGAGAGAAAATACTATAACGAATCACGAATCATAATTCAAATCATGGTACGAATTTACTAACAAAACGCATTGATATTATTGAAGTATAAATAAAATTTTTCTATTACACAGTACAAAAGTGGTTAATCCCTACGAGACAACTTAAACGGAGCACGTCCTCAACTAGTCATAATAATTAAAAAAACACAAGATATACTATTTGGATAACAGATTAAAAAAAAAAAAAGAAAAATAATCCCCGAAAAAGGAAAGAACTTATGCTTATGTGGATAAAACATGTATGAAAACAATCCTTCTAAAATGCAAAATATATAAAAGAACAACATGATAATTAACGATTCTACAAAAAAAAAAAAGAAAGTCAATTAACAAAATAAAAACATGTTCAACATTGTTATTAATTTTTCAGGAAAAAAATATAAATTTATTTAAAAACATTAACACAACAATAATCATACATAAAGAGTCAAACATAGTTGAGGTTCCGATGGGATTCTAATATTCTATTTCCATGGGGAAAGAATCTCTAATTACTATTTTTTTTTCTTCCCCCACCACCACGTCAAAAGAAAAAAAAAAAAAAAAAAAGCCTCCAATCCCCTCTTAAGTCCCACACAATTCTTTAAAAAAAAAAAAAAGCCTCCAAAAAAAAATTCGTAATTCCAAAGAAATCCAAAAAAGCTAATTATTTGCCAACTTCTCTTTCCCCGCGTTTTCTCTTCCCTTTCCTTCTATAAAAGAAAACACAAAATCCCCAATCTTTTGCCACTCTCCCCCGCCTCCTCTCAAACCCTATCTTCTTCTTCTTCTTCTTCTTCATCTTCCCACCACACATTCCTAGATAAAAACTCTCCAATTTTTTTCTCTTTATTTTTCCTTATAAAACCAGTCGTTTTCACTTCTACCATGCCCGGCCTTCTTCAATAACTCCAAAACACATATATTTTCATCCTTCTTTGATTTTTTTTTTTTTTTGGGAGTTTTTTCGTAGATTTTGAGATTCTGATATAAACATTTTATTGAGCCGAAGAAATGGCGACGATTCCTTATCCTCATTTTATTGGGTCAGAGAAATCGGCCGTGGAGAAGGGCATTCTTTCCTCTTCATCCTCCTCCTCCTCCTCTCCGCCGTCACCCGTCGTATTAACCCAAGACGAGCTCAAGAAGATCGCCGCCTACAAGGCGGTCGAGTACGTCGAGTCCGGCATGGTCCTCGGCCTCGGCACCGGCTCCACCGCCAAGCACGCCGTCGCCAGAATCGGCGAGCTTCTCCGTCAAGGTAAGCTCAAGAACATCGTCGGAATCCCGACCTCCAAAATCACCCACGAACAGGCCCTCGCCGCCGGAATTCCCCTCTCCGATCTCGACTCCCACCCCGTCCTCGATCTCGCCATCGACGGCGCCGACGAGGTCGATCCTTTCCTCAATCTTGTCAAGGGCCGCGGCGGCTCCCTCCTCAGGGAGAAGATGGTCGAGGGCGCTTGCAAGAAGTTCGTCGTCATCGTCGACGAGTCCAAGCTGGTCAAGCATTTGGGAGGGAGCGGGCTCGCCATGCCGGTCGAAATCGTGCCGTTTTGTTGGAAATTCACCGCACAGAGGCTCCAGAGCCTCTTTGCCGATGCCGGCTGCGTCGCGAAATTGAGGACTTTTGCCGAGAGTGATAAGCCCTTTGTCACGGACAATGGGAATTTCATTGTGGACTTGTATTTCAAGAAGGATATTGGGGATTTGAAGGCGGCCAGCGACGCCATTTTGCAGCTCGCCGGAGTCGTCGAGCACGGGATGTTCTTGGACATGGCCACCACCGTGATTATTGCCGGAGAACTCGGTGTCACGGTGAAGAATAAATAGAGAAAAAACAATAAAGGAAGAGTTTTTTCAAGGTAGTTATTGAGATTCTGGGAATAATCTGACTTAATAATGTATTGTACAAGGGGATTAAAGTTATAATATTTCAGTCAAATTTGACTGCTATTTTGTTGTAACAAGGGAAAACGTTTTTGGTTTCCTGATAGATTTATTGGGTTTGTGGGGTCTGAAGCAAAATTTTGATGGCAACAACTAGACAAATTCTAATGAAAAATATTCTGAAGCAGTATTTATGGTGTATTTTCATGCACTAATCAGCCATGGACGGTCCCGCCCATCACGTAACAGTGCCGGGTTCGGTACGGTCCGGTACAATATTGTTACGGGCCGTGTCGGCCCGACACGTTTGATGGGTTAGGGCTTGGCCGCGGCTTCTCAGCCCGCGGTCCAAGCCTGACCCTAGCCCTTGAAGCCCTGAGACCCGGCCCAAGCCCAGTTCAGCCTAAGCACGTGTTCGGCCCGCGATACGACCCTTCTTCGGCCCGGCCCAAGTACGTGTTCGGCCCACGAAACGGCTCGCTAAAAGCCCTCCCTGCCCGCCAGGCTTGTGACCGTTGGGCCATTTGCATGCCTAATGGTCGGTCCGTGCCGACTGTTGGGCACACGAAGGGCCCAACGGTCACAAGCCAAAAATCCACCCCAAAAAACCTTATAAATACTCCTTAATCCCACCCTAAATCCCACATAACAATTCACTCTCAACTTCTTATCTCACGCTCATTCTATCTCTTATCCTGTCTCTTTGATATTGATTCTAAGCTTTTCTTTATCGATTACTCATTTTCTTGCTATTTCATTTACGAAGTTCAATCAATTTCCATAAATCCTGAAAAAAGGTATTCTACTTATCAATCTTGTTATATAACATTGTATTACTCAAATTTATTTATATTGTTTATTGTTTATAAATGAACAAATTAACATTAGTTTATGTTTTTTTTTTAGAAAATGGCCGCATCTTTTCCCAATTTCACTGCTCTCTTTAAGCTTGGTGATGAGCCATTTTATGAGGATGAAATGTTGGCCCACAACACCATTCTTACTGAATTGAAAACTGCTCCGGTTGATAATGCTTCAGTGCATAATGAGGAAGTTGGGGAACGTAGCAGGGGAAAAAGACCCCGAACTTCTCCCGCATGGCAACATTTCACAGAGGAGCCCCGACCAAATCCAAAAACAGGTAAAATAAAAATTCGTGTGGTATGTAAATATTGTAAAAAGTATTGTTCTAATAAAAATGGTAGGGGTACTGGTAATCTGAATAAACATTGGAAAGCATGTCTACCGTTGCACTAAGGTGGGAATGCAGACTTCCGCCAACAAACACTATCACTCACATCATAAGGGTTGCAAAATTTTACATACGATTTACAACGTGCTCATGAGGCACTAACTAAATTTTTAGCTAGTGCCGAATCACCTCTTTCTTTTGCAGATGATGCGGCATTTGAAGAATTCATACAGACGGCCTTATGCCCACAATTTAAACGGGTAAATAGAAACACAACTTGTTCTGATTGCACGAAAGTGTTTTATGCAATGAGACACACTCTAGTTGATAATTTTAGGTCTTTTAATGCTACTATATCTTGTACTTCTAATCTTTGGGAGGGGTGTAATAAAACTGGATATTTATGCGCCATGGTGCATTATGTTGACAATGAATGAGTTTTACAAAAGAGAATAATAGGTTTTCGTTTATGTCCATTTCCTCATAATGTAAATGCTATTTTTGGAACAATAATGGATATTTTTTGGTTTATGGGATAGAAGATAAAGTTTTAACTATTACTTTTGATAATGCGTCAGCTAACACGGCTGCAATTAACATGTTTAAACGTAGTTTGAAACCAGCTTTTGGGGGTAAAATTTTTCATCAACGGTGTGTGTCTCACAGAATAAATTTAATAGTACAAGCAGGAATTGAACATATTTCCTCTAATCTAATAAATATTAGAGAAGCTTTATCCTTCGTATCTAGTTCTGGAGCTCGGCTCTAAGAATTTAGATAATATTACAGGAACAACCAGATGTGAGACATATGTGGAACTCCACCTACTTAATGCTGAAGGCTGCACTTCCGTATCAACAGCTCATCACAATGTATGTGAACAGTAAGAACTATCAGCTTTTAATTTTTGATACAGATTGAAAGATTGGTGAGTACTTTTTTAAATTTCTTGAAGTTTTCTACAATGCTACTGAATTACTTTCTGAAGTTTATTATCCTACTGCACATTTAGCTTTGCATCAACTATTTAATATTTCAGAAACATTTTCTTTTTATAGGGATATTGAATTTTTTAGAATTATGGTTAAGCTAATGGAAGCTAAATTTAAAAGTTATTGGTCCGGTTGTTCTATGTTATATGCATTAGCAGCCATTTTAGATCCTAGATGCGGAGTAGATGGGACCAAATCTTTGATGACTGCTACGACATAAAATTTAGGTATTGATATGCAACTAACTATTACAGGCTAGAAAAATATTAGGAAAATTATTTGGTTTGTATGAAGTAAAATACGGAACTGGTAAAAAAGAATAGGGAACTTCGACGTCAACTAGCAGTTCGGGGCCTAAAGGCTCATCGTGGAGCTTCTTGAAGAAGAAAGAGAAAACGTCATGATCGTCATCAATAAAAGCGTCTACCGAATAGGTAAAATATTTTGAATCAAACTTTGTAATCGATGACGACAAACTGGACATCTTACAGTGGTGGCGGAGCAAGACCGATCGTTTTCTAACACTGTCCATAATAGCCTGTGACATTCTGACAACTCTAGTGTCAACGGTAGCGTCAGAGCACGCATTTAGTGCAAGCAGCCGAATTCTTGACGAGAAGAGAAGCAGAATGTATCCGGATATCTTGGAGGGGCTAATGTGCGTTAAAGACAGGGAAAATGCCAGAAGACGAAAACAACACTATACGGAATATTCAATAGATTATTTTTCTAATTTAGATATAACAGAATTTTCTGGAAGCATTTAGGTTTTGTAATTTACTTATCTTAGAATACTGCACTCTTTTTTCCTTCACTAAGTTTTTTTCTCGATATCTCCACGGGTTTTACTTGACAAGGTTTTTAACGAGACAGACATTTATGTGTACTCATTCGTATTATCTCAATTCAATAAAATCGCATCTTTTAGAGGCATATGATATATTTTCTTTTTTTAAAAAATAAATATTGTAAAAAAATTAAAAGGGCCACGGCTGGCCCATGAAGGGCCTGGGCCCGCGCCCGGCCCCGGCCTTTATGGACGAGGGACTGGGCCAGTGTTGGGCCTGAGGATCCTCTCTCAAGTCCGGCCCAGACATGATCATAAACTGTTTAGGGCCATGCCTGGCACAGCCCAGACCCACCACGGGCTTGGGGTCTGGTACGGCACGTTTGACACCTCTATGATCAAACTTGCATCAATTAATATAATCAGCCATATATATATATATATATATATATATATATAATATCTTAGCGACTCAGGGAAATAGTTGACAAGTTTAATACAACTTCATTACTAACAAACGCATCACGGCTTTTGGGAATTTTTTTGTATAAAAATATATATATTGTATGTATCTGTAAACTTGAGCTGACATATATACGTTCACCCACTGGGAAAGCTTAGTGGGTTCTTCATGATGAAAAACCTACAGTAAAAGCACAGGCCGCACAAACGGTGCTATATATATCGAAAAAATTATAATCTAATTAAATTAACCGAATCTCCTAATCTCTGGAAAATTAATTTTAGTATTGAACCTCCAACATTAATCTGGATGATAATTGCCTAATACAGTACTTTTCCAATTGCCTACTCCGGTATCAAGTGGGAGATTACTTCCTAATTGATCATATTTCATCGAATTGTTAATATACAGTCGTCTAATAAAATATATGTAATTAAAATATAAGTGAGGTAAATATTTGAAAAAAAAAAAAAAAAAAACAATGGATTTGTATAATTTGAAAGATAGATACATAAATACGTACTTAAGCGCCTTTGTGTAATAACCTCTCTTTCCC